TTCCTCCATAACAAATAGATATGGTTATTTATTTGAGATGAATGAATATAATCTAAATAGGATTTTAGTGGAAAAATGTGGATCATAGCAGAAGATGTGTCATCAAATAGAACTCTAACTTTCTTTCTGAAAAGAAGCCCAAATTGATTTATAGATCAATTTACAACTTGATCTAGAGCAAGTCTAGATACCTAAGTCTAGAAATAATTTGTTTCACCAAAAAGCAAACAAATACAATGTTTAGGGAACAGTCAGAAAGCTGCATCAAAGTGATTTTCTGCAATCTCTGTGCCATTAAAAATTACACTGCTTTTATTGTCGATTTCTGTTCTACTTCATAGTTAAGCCAGTGAGTTAACTTCTCTTTATAGTTAGGCTCTTCTCACTGGAGAAGAGCCGAATGCTGGGAACGATGGAGGGCAAAAGAAGAAGGGGACGACAGATAATGAGGTGGCTGGATGGAATCACTGAAGCAGTGAGCTTAAATGGACTCCAGAAGATGGTAGAGGACAGGAAGGCCTGGAGGAACATTGTCCATGGGTCGCGATCAGTTGGACACGACTTCGCAACTAACAACAACAAAATTGTTATTTATGCATTTAGCATATAGCAAAAATGTTAAAAAATATGTCACAATTACATTCTCAGTGAGAAAATATGAAACTATTTACAAATTCAAAGGTAGACTATTTCTATAGTCAACACATGATGAGTTGCACACAGAAAGTCTCTGGGGTTTCCCTGATATGTGCTCGGAGGGCACTGTTCCACAATATGTCACACTGTCTGCAGGGGCGATTGTGGTGGGCCTTATTAATTGATCACAGGCAGTTACAAATTTCTCGTTGTAGGTTTAATGCAGGACAAGTTAAGTAAAGAGATTAATGGATCCCTAAACTTGTATTTTGCAGTAAGTGTCACCTGCCTGTCACTCTCCTAATCATGTGAGGGCCAAGGGTTTTCAGCATGGATATTTAACCAAGATTTAACAGGGTGCAGGTATAGAGGTGTTGTATACCTATTACTGTCAGTCAGGCTACTCCTGAACACAAAACAACCCTAAACCCTTGTCCCAAAATAGCTTGGTCAAGAGGGTGCATGTAGAAGAAAGTTAAATGGTGAAGCATGGGGAGCATTTATTTATTTGTTTACTTTTATTTATTTGATTTGTCAATTGCTTACAAGATAATAGTTATAAGTATAAACATAGTTATGAATACATGGATACATATAAGAAGAAAAAAAAGAAACAATAGGACAGGGATGGTAGGCACGTTGGTGCGCTTATGCACGCTCCATACAGACCTCTTAGGAAAGGGGTGAGGTCAATAGTAGACAGTCTAAGGTTAAAGTTTTTGGGGTTTGGGGAAGAAACCACAGAGTCAGGTAGAGTATTCCAGACATTGACCACTCTGTTGCTGAAGTCGTATTTCCTGCAATCAAGTTTGGTGCGATTAACCTTGAGTTTGTATCTATTGTTTGCTCTTGTATTGTTATGGTTGAAGCTGAAGTATTCATTGACAGGTAGAACATTGCAATGTATGATTTTATATGCTATACTTAGATCGGACCGAAGGCAGCGTAGTTCTAGGTTTTCTAGGTCTAGAATTTTGAGTCTGGTGGCATAAGGTATTCTGCAACAAGTAGAGGAGTGGAGAACTCTTCTTATGAAATATTTCTGAACTTTCTCAACTGTGTTAATATTATATACGTAATGTGGGTTCCAGACTGATGAGCTGTATTCAAGTATTGGTCTAGCAAATGTTTTGTATGCTCTGGTTAGTAGTGTGATATCACCAGAGAAAAAGCTACATTGATAAAGAGCAAAATCCATCAATGGCCAGGAAGCTGGTCCTGGCAGTGAGTTGCTGTGGCTAAAAGCATCTTGACATTGCTCATGAAATAGGCAAAATGGTGCCATGTCCCCCTAAGTAGTAAAAATAGGAAAAAGTGAAACCACTTGTCAGCAGAAGCAGCCAAAAATCTGTAATGTCTTGGTAACAGCTAGCTGAACCTCATTCTCTTTCCTCATTGAAATCAACCAATCAAGGAGGGGGGGGCGAAGGCTGGTCTTGTCTTTCAGTCATAGGTCTAGAGCTCTTTCAAAAAAAAAAGTCCTATATCTATGAATATGTTAGGCTTGATAAGAATGTGTCAGTCAGGCATTGCCCAAGCAAATGGCTCTGCCAAAGTAAGGAGTCTCATATCTAAATGGCCGTAGAGAGCAAAAGACTATGACTGTATTTATTTATTGTATCCAATTGGGTGGTGTGCAACTCCAGAATGACTCTGAGCAGCTCCAAGTACAATAAATAGAATCTAAGTAGGAGCTTCCTTCTCTAGAAGAGGGGATGCCCACAACAGCTTAAGCTATGCAGATTTCATTTCCTGACTAACCCTAAACTGGATCCAGAGAACACAGCAAATATTACTCAGAGCTGGGACTACTGAAGACTACTTTACACTGTCTTAGCTGTAGGCCTGGGATGAGATGAAGGCAAGATCCTAACAGAAAATGTTCGTGCTGCAGTTAAGTTAATGTGAAGGCGAACTCTAAAAAATAATACTTCTCTCTCCCCCATAAATTCTGATAGATAGAAAACTCAAATTCTCACAGATTTGAAATTCGATTTAATGTTCTGGACATAATATCATACAAGGACATTGACTGTAGAGATGATATGCATAAATAACAATAGAATTAGATTGTGAGAGATTGTTTTTACAGAAAAGGGTGTTATTTTTAAGCACCAACCATTGTGGTAAAAACTTTATCCAGTAATCGGTTTGTTTCTATTTTCATTTATTATAATGGGGTTAAATCCGTAAAATGTCAGATCTTGTCTTTTTCTGCATTTTTAGCTACAGGAGTGCTATACATAATATACAGAAAAATAATTGCCATGTTCATTTACAGTGTCAGAAAATACTCATAAATAACCATGCTAAATTCCCATACAGTATAAACATCTTTGACAAACTAAACACAGCAGCCTCTTGAGATAACTTTAAAAGGCAATGTGCTATGAAAAGCATTTCATCATGGATGTTTGACAGCTCTGGGTGCTGTTTTTGCACAAAGATAGCACAAAGTGTCTTTCAAAAAAAATCTCACAAAAATCAGCGGTGGAAACCTTTCTTGGCAGCACGACTTCTTTCCAGTGCAAGAATGTTGGAGTACCAATCATCTTTGCTGGGCATTGGGAAACACCATCAGGGGAAATATATCAAAGTGCTAAATATAGATATGTTGCCTTTTTATTTCATAATTTGAGAAATATTGACAAAGCTTTCCAGTTTGACAAATAGTTGCCAAGGGAAAATTCAAAGTGTCCCTCCTCCTCCCCAAGAATATTGTTCCATTTTGTACAATTAAAAAGTAATTACTTTTTCCTTTTGTATATTTTACTTGCTGTGAAGAAATTTGCTAAGTTTACAAAAGAACCATTTTTAGAGGTAGTAGGAACTACCAAGGTAAGGCATCTAATGCCCTAGAGCAGGGGTGTCCAACCTTGGCAATTTTAAGACTTGTGGACTTCAAGTATCAGAATTCTGGGAGTTAAAGTTCACAAGTCTTAAAGTTGCCAAGGTTGGACAACCCTGCTTTAGGCTGTTCTTGATCCTGGGGAATGGTCTGGACAAGTCCATGCATTTTTCTAGGCAACATTTTACAGAAATAATTTTCCTTTGCTTCCTTCAGAGAGCCGAGAATGATTACTCCAAAGTCACCCAGATGGTTTTCTGGGTAGGACTAGAACTCACAATCTTCCATTTCCTAGCCTTTAATCAGTGCACTTAAATTGCAGTGTAGACTAACATACTATACATTAAATATTATTGTAGTTCTACAGGTCAGTGTTGAGTCCATGTAACCATATAGACCACTACACACAGTTTTCTTGGCAACATTTTCAGAAGTGTCCCAAAGGTGTTTTTTCAAGAGGTAACTGGACTTTCTGGTTTTTCTTTGAAGACATTTTGCTTCTCATCTAAGAAGCTTCTTCAGCTCTGAAGAAGAATAGATGAAGAAGCTTCTTGAATGAGAAGGGAAATGTCTTCAAAGAAAAACCAGAAATCCAGTTGCCTCTTGAAAAAAGCACTTTTGGGACAACTATGAGCTAGATAATTGAAAATCTCCATAGACATTTTCAGAAGTGGTTTTCAGTGCCTTCTTCTGAGATGTTTTTCAGAAACCCAGGCTAGATCTGACAGTGTACCTGGTTCAAAATCACCTCCTTGGCTTCTATGCCTAATAGAGGACCAGAACTCATGGTCTCCTTGTTCCTAGTACAGCACATTTAATGCCCCATAACACTGTCTCTCATTAAATGTGCCCTCCCTTTAGGTGAGATTGGCAGTGTAGAAATCTGAGAAATAAATGTTCAGATTTTTCCTTTATTGTACAAAAACAAACACCACATAATACAGGAGAACTTGGATTTGGAGTAAAGAAAGACCAGCCACTTTGAAGGAAAAATATTTTTCAAAGCTGAGTTAGAAAAACACAATAACTAGAAACAGATGAAACATTTTTCCTTGTATTTCAAGGACTGCAGTTTTTTCAAGCAGCCTTATTAGAACGGTGCTTCTGTTTATGTTTATGACCATTGAAAGTCCCTAATAGGAGTAAAAACTGTAGCCCTCTGCACCTTTGCATACTTAAGTGCCATTTAATTGAAAAGATATTGTTTCTGAGTAGGTGAATATTGGATTGAATTATAAGCCTGCAGTCTTACTACCTGGGAGTTCATGATCTGCATAGTTAGCCTAACTATGGCAAAAATACAGCTGTGCTGAGATACAACTTATGCAGCATAACGGTTACCTATTCAGAAATGTAAAAGCACCATAGTTTTTCCAGGAAGGGAAGAGAAAAATATATTGTGCATTTTCATGCTTCTCACAGACTGTAGGGTAGGGGTGAGGGAAACTTTATTTGCCTGCTGCTGCATTGCTGAGTGGAAACACACACCGACACACACAACGCTTTTAGCTCTTACCTTCAGACACCTGTAAGTTCACTTGGAGAATGAAGAGGACAAAGACAGGCAGACTAACTGTGTTATTGGATTAGTCAAACTAGGCATTTAACCATCTGACTGTCAAGGGTTCATTTGCCATATGAGCTATAAATACAGTAACTCTAAAGAAATAGCCATCCAAGGAGATAAGAACCCTCAACATCATTACACGTTCCAGCCTTTTAAGGCATCACTAAAGAGGAAAACCCAAATTGGCAATGGAAGAGAGCCATTGGTCACTGTGCTAGTCAGTTTATATCCAAGTGTACGCTGTGATAAGCAACATTTTGAAAACCTGCAAGTTTATTGTGGCAGATACTTTTATGAGCTGGAAACCATGTCATCAGATGGCCTCAATCAGTCCATTAGTATGTTCCATTTCGTAAAATTTTAAGGTATATTTGCACCTTATTATACTGCTTTGAATTGTGCTTTGCTGAACAAACAAGGAACAAATCACAATCAGTTTTGAAGAAAAGTCAAAGTAATTGTGACTTTTTCAGACATTACTTTTGCTTATAACCAAAAGAAATCAATAGAGCAAATAAACCTAGAATACGCCAGTATTCTCAATTCAGACAAGTAGTGGTCAAAATAAGTCAGAATTTATAAGATAGCAATATTTGATGTTTCTTATTCAAAATCAACCTTAACTTCCTTTTTGGAGTAGGTTTATACATTACATTGAGTCAAAACTAGACAAATTGTGCTTGGATTCAACTCTTAAGTCAATAAATTGCTGTACCAAATGCAAACTGTCTATGTGATGATCTTTGCAGTGTGGGAATACAGCCTATATATCTGATCCCATATCTATTTACCCATGGTTAAGTGAATCGTGGTTTATTAAACTAATTCACTGTTTTGGGTTTGAACAAGACATCAGACCAATCACACAGGCTAGGCCTATAACATGCTGGGTCAGTGTTATATGCCAATTTGGGGTTCAGTATAATGTACAAACACAGCATTTTATGTCCTAGGTCTAATGTGACCTTTAAGCAACCTGAAAGCCTACATATGTTAACATCTTATTCTTGTAGGATTCAAAACAAAGGAAAGGCACTTGTAAAGCAAACAAGTCTTCTTATCAGGGTAAGGAATAAATCAAGTGTTACTTCAAGTCACATATGGCACATTTCTGTAAGTCTCAGATATTTTGAGAGAAAAGCCTATGAAGAGATATCTCCAAGTTCAAGAACTGGTGATACTTAGTGGTCTTAGCAGTAACAGGTATATTTTTCCAGCCCTACGCCAAAATTTTGCAACTTTTTGACAAAGATATAGCCCTGGTTTTTATGTGCAGTGAACCTTTCTAGATTATGTTTCTGAGTGTTGGCAACTTTAAGGTATATGGATTTCAACTCCCACTATTTCTCAGCCAATCATTCTAGGAGAATCTAGGGTCCAAAATCCATACTTTTTAAAGTTGCTGAGATCCCCCTGTTCTAGATCAGGGGTCTCCAACCTTGGCAACTTTAAGTCTGGAGGACTTCAACTCCCAGAATTCCCTAGCCAGCAAAGCTGAGTTGAAGTTCTCCAAGCTTAAAGCTGCGAAGGTTGGAGACCCCTGATCTAGATAAGGGGTCACCAACCTTTCCGACCTCAGGGACCACTAAATTCATAATTTTAAATTCTATGGACCACTAATATGATCTGCTGAATGACCGGCTGGGTGGAAGTGTCTAGGTGGTCATGTGATTGTTGGGCATGGCCAACTCAATGTCACTTACATTGAGGGGCGCCTCATCGGCTTCTACATAGGCTTTCCAAGCAGAGGGAAGACCTGCAGGAGTGCAAGGCTAGGTACTTGGCTCAGTGGGCTGAGATGATCAGCCAGTTCCAGGCTATGATGCAATCCCACTGGAATGAGGCCTTCCGTCTCTTTGCCACCAGCAACACTTCCCTCCAGCCTTCACCAAAAGCCCCACACCAGGAGGCTGAAGCAGATCTCAAATCAGAATTTCTGCCCCCCTCTGACCCTCACAAAAAGACCCCAAAGGGGTCTCTGCAGCAACACGAATGTTCATTGCACGTATCTGGCCCAGGGCCCATAGTTTGAGGACCCCTGGTTTAGTGCAATATAAAAAATACACATAATTTTTTGTGGACCACCAGTGGTCCACAGACCACCAGTTGGTAACCCCTGCTCTAGATGACCAAGTGACATCATAACTATGAGTTTGCAACTGAATGGAATTTTGATGTGTCCCCATTGTTTTCATGGATGTGGCCTGTCCTCTGCCAGGCAGTTAATCTCTCCAAAATGGACAGTGCATTGCAGCCCAGCTGATTTGTTCCCTGGCTTTTTCTGTCTAGCCTGCTGAGAGGAAAGACAATTCCAGCTAGTCTATTGCTACTTTATTCTAATCAATTTCAACCCTGCTTACTTCAGCTCTGCTCTTACCACCAGGAAGAACGGCAAGGAAGGAAAGAACAGCTCTACAAATAATCAAAACAGCCTGGAGGCATCTCAAATGAAGTTTATATTTGGGTTAGAAAAGTTGGCATATGCAAAAGCAAATCATTCCAAAATTCTGTTTGGTCATTTTTTCCCCTGACATATTGGGGATTGACATTACCAAAGAGGATGAGTGAACAATAACAAATCTTATTTTTAAAATGTAGTTCAGATGTTGTGTGGGTTTTTCTCTCTCTCTCTCTTTTTCTATCTCCTTGATACATTAAGCCTGAGGCTTAGCACAACTATTTGCAATTTTTTAAAATGTGGATTTCAGCAATTTGATGTCACATTTTGGCAGCGCAATCACAGGATGGGCTCTGTGGTCTGCAAAAAAAAAAAAAAGGGAGTCAGCTGGGTGGCCGTATGTAATATATACAGAGACATTTTGCATCCTGGTCTTAGTGTGTTGGACAGAAATTTCGATTGTAGGTTTTATGGCTGAATGAGGATCTGAGGTAAATAAAGTTGACCATGGATTAGCTAAAGTTGTGAGAATAAAATGCATGCTACCTTGTATGTTACCTTAAAAATAATAAAAATGGTGCTTTCTACAGCATGGATAACTTGGTGTTCATTAAAATCACATTTCAGGCACAATTGGCAGTGCACTTTACCATTATTCTAAGATATTTAAATCAGAAAGCAAGAAAGGGTTTATCATTTTAGTGCCAGGATTGATTATAGGAATCAGCCCTTTGTGTCAACAGGAAAAGGAACAAGTAGCAGATTCCTTCATAGCTGCTCTGGAGAAAGAGAACAATTTGACCTGTGTCATTCTGACAAGTTCATATCAGAATGCATTGAGAGCATGCCACATTCTTCATCTAGGAGAAGAGCTTGCCAAATAGATGGTCTTAGTAAATTGACATCACTGTCCTGCTGCTGCTGAGAGTTCATTAGGTTAAAATCTTCACTGTAGAGTTTTTAATGTAATGAGTTTAAAAACAGGATCTTCAAAAATAATAGTACTGTAAAGAACTGTGGTAGAGGATATAACATGAAAACATTGAGGCATGGGAAGATTTTATGGCTTAGGCCAGAGCAGGGGTGGGATACGACAGGGTTAACTACCGATTTGGGATTTACTAGCTTCCCTGCACGCTGTGAGCTGCACACCTGTAAATCGTCATCAGCATGCTGTGTGCAGAGACGCAGCCTTTGAAACAGCCCTCTTTTCCTGCTTTTTTAACTGCAGCTGTGCCTCGTTCTGCAGCTGAAGTTGAAAAATCAGGAAATAAAGATCAGGTAAGAGCCCAGGTGGGCGGGTGGGCAAAAACATCAGCGGACATAGAACCGGTTCTGTCTGCTGCTCTTCAGAGCTACCGGTTCTACAGAGGTGGACAGAACCAGTAGAAACCCACCCCTGGGCCAGAGGTGTCCAACCTTGGTGCCTTTAAGACTTCTTTCCTTTCAACTTCCAGAATTCTACAGCCAGCAATGGAAGTTGAAGTCCACAAGTCTTAAAATTATCAAGGACACTAATCAATCACTAAAGCATATATTGTCCCTGGTCTCACAACATAAATGTCCCAGTCATTTGCTCCCTCAGTTTTGCCACTTTATATTGGCAGCAAAATGGAAATATATTGGGTATGTATCAGTGGTGGGATTCAAATTTTTTTACTACCGGTTCTGTGGGTGTGGCTTGGTGAGTTGTGGCTTGGTGGGCATGGCTTGGTGGGTGTGGCAGGGGAAGGATATATTGCAAAATCCCCCTTCCCTCCCCACCCCACTGACCTGCTTTCCAGTTCCATTCTCCTGTGCAGGGCAACCAAAGAAGACCCAACCGGTCAGCTGGGACTTGGGAGGCAGAGCAGAGATGGGGGCAGGGCCAGACAGAGATAGCATTTGCTGGTTTTCCGAACTACTCAAAATTTCCGCTACTGGTTCTCCAGAACTTGTCAGAGCCTGCTGAATACTACCTCTGGTATGCATTGCAATTGTCTTCCTAATTTGTGGGAGACCATTTTTGCCTTTCCTTGCTCTTTTCCTTCTTTCTTCAAAGGCATAATCAGGGTTTCCATCACTGCAAATCAGGGTTTCCATCACTGCAAATAAAAACAAGGGATTTACTCGCCCCCACCCAATTCTGTACATCTTTCAGCCCTCCATATGGCCAAGGTGGATGAAAATCCAAAAAACTACAGAGATGTAAATGCCTAGAGAAACCCTCTCCAAGACTCTGTCTCAGTCTTGGAAGGTGAAGTTCACAATGTGATGAGCAATTTCCACAAAACATTTGACCACTTTTTGGTTTGGAAGTTCCTCTGTTTAGTCTTACAATTACTGGGTTGGGATGTGCTAATGATCTATCACTTTCATATCTCAAAAATTGGTTAATTATGAGCTAGTAATCTAATACATATCTATAACTGAATAGACATATCATCTCAATTCCAACTTTCTCTTTATTGACAGAAAATAGTGACATATAGTCTAAAATATTTTGAGGGGGTTTAGTGCTGTGGCTTTTAAATGAAGTGGTTTTATCCCTAAATGGGAAATTAATCCTATTCAGACCTCCAAGAATTAAAATATTCCCCTCTACAATTTCAGGAAGGGATTTTAAAAAAACACATAAAATTTTACTCTGTCATTTGGCACATAGATTGAA